CGTGTCTTTCCCTTGGGCTAAGTACACCCACTATCTCATATGTAGTAAAGCCTTCGGCCTAGTCCATATGTATTCCCCACATAACTCCTTGAAGTAAGTGGCTGCCGCAGCGTCCTCCTTCCTAACTGAAGGGCACGTTTTCCCAGTGTTATCCAATAGTCTCATTGTATGGGTTATTACGGAACAACAGTGACAGATACACTCTGTGTGTAGCCTCCTCCTATCGTCCTTCTAGGCAAGAAGGTGTAGAGGCTTGCATGGGGCGCTGGATGGGGTGCAGCAGCTGTGGCGCTTTGGTAGGGATTCCTATTGGTCAGTCTGACCTACGTTGTAGTGACTGACCGATAGGGAACGTCTCGGTTACATATGGTAACCCTCGTTCCCTGAGGGAGGGAACGGAGACGTAGGTTCCGTCGCCACATCTGCTGCCGCCCGCCGGGGGGCCAGCTTTTTCAGGTTTGGCTCCTCAGCAAAAAACTAGTGTGCAATCAAACAGCTGCTTGTTAAATACCCGCGCTGCGAGGCTGCACAGCTGATGCAAATGATTGCACGCCAATGTGCATTGGCTTGTTTAGTTTCACTCGAAGTAGATTGGCCTCTCTAGCGAGATTCCTGTTGGTCAGTCTGACCTACGTCTCCGTTCCCTCCCTCAGGGAACGAGGGTTACCATATGTAACCGAGACGTTTATAACCATTGATATAAAGTACTGAACAAAGAACAAGAAAAAAAAGGTTCCAAATTCCAAACAGGATATTAAATCATGTTCTACCAGTCAAAATTTTGGATACATTATACATTTGTTTCTTGTGACCTTAAAACACTTTTGATCTAGGCTTGTGAATAGAAGCTTGACTATAGTTTTGAAGGAACATCCTACTTCTACACTGTTTGAAGAAGCTAAATTATGAGAAAACATTTGTTAAAAAGATGCTATTCCAAACCTGTAAGGCTTTCTCTCCTCTGTGCACAAATTGTAGTTTTCTGTTTACCTCAAAAATGACGTTTGAACCATCTGATATTTTCAATTCCCACAACAGGTTGCAAAGTCAACATATCTAATGAAGAGAAGCCAAATCCACACCTGGAACACTTAATAAATGCATTCTGGAACTATATTGCCCAAGCAGTGCATACTACTGATGAAACTTCACAGATGATAAGGACAACCCAGCTGGGACAAGAAGTCAAGTAAGTCATTTTTATCAGCAATATTATTTTTATTATAATTAGAAATATTTTCTTTTACCAAACATAAATTACACCTTTCCCCCTCCACATCCCCACACTAGACTAACACAGACTCCTCCATCTGAAGATATGATGACCAAAATCACAGAGGAGACTGAAGTGTTGAGGGAGCGTTTGGGCCAGGACCTGAACACCCTGAGAGACAAACTGGAGCCCTATGCCGACAACCTCAAGAGCCAGATCCAGCAGAGAGTGGAGGAGCTCATGATAGCCATGACTCCATACAGAATCCCTGGATTCTGAGACCCTGAAGGCCACTCTGCTCCAGAAGAGTGAGGAGCTGAGAGGAAACCTGGAGCAGAGCGTGAAGGAGCTGCAGGCTCAGCTGGAGCCCTACACTGATGAAATCATGGAGAATGTGGACCAAAATCTGCAGGAAATGAAAAAAATCTTTTGCTACATCAACTGAAGACCTCCAGTAACAGATTTAATCTGCAAAGTTATTTTTGAGTTTTCATATTTTTGAAATATATTTCATATTTTATATTGTTTCTAGCTTTTGTCCTTGTTATTGCAACAATAAAACATCTGTCATATTTTATTATTTGTCACTAATATGTAAAAGATAAGTAGAAAATGTGAAGATTTTCTACAACTGTTTCATTTGAGGTTGACTTTTCACTTCAGGCTTGTTTTTTTAATAAATGCTGATGTACTCTTAGCACATGATAAATGTTTTGCATCTTGCAGGAAGTGATAAGATCTTTTTTAATGTAAACAATTATTAATATATATATATATTGATAAAGGGTTAACTAACCCATATAGCGTCACTAGTGGCAGTGCTATAGTGGTGAGAAATGCATTATTCCACTCATCTCTCATTCAAATTAGATTATAGATAGGCCTACTTCTCATCAACTTTGGTGAAAATTAACTATATGATAAAGTGACAAATTATTTTCCTGTAGTTTAACCAGCCAAATATTGTTATTGAATAATTAAACAGATTTCTGTTCTTTTATCCCTGGAGTTCTGATCATGACAGTTCCATGGGATACAGAATCAGTTTATGTGGAGTCTATTTCCTTCTAAACACTTTATGTATTACTTAATAAATGGCAAATTATTATCATTTTTAATAAAGTTAACACCTAGAATTAAAGCTAAAAGACAAGAGTAAAAATACTTAATACCAGCAGACACAGAATCAAGAGGCTTTGGGTGATGTGTCAGATCTTATCAGGGTGTGCAGAACGTCTTTCATCATTTGTTGTTTTATTAGCTCAAATGTTCAAATTTGGGGCTCTGTCTGGTTTTAGTCCCTAATATGGACCTTAAATAATTGGATTTTTCTGGATAACTCAGTTTAGGCTTTAACATTTTAACTAAATTAATGTTTCCATTATGTATACTTTTCTTGTTTGTTTTAGGGAGTAGGGGAATTCTAGTTAAACTTCCCTTTAATGACATCTGTGTAATGTTAAGTGCTAAGCCAAATGAATATTTTATGTATTTTTATTTGGTCCAATTAAAACTTCATCAAAAAACGACGTATTACTGCTTTTAAAGACAAAGTTCCACTGTTACCATTATCTGTGCCGAATCTGAAAGTCTGTGTGGTTGAAGGTACAGTCAGGGCATTATGATGTGGAGTAGTGACAGCAAGGCACTACCCACTGGACTTTGGGTTTCCACTATGGCAATCACCTCCCTATGCTATATAAATACAGATGTGAAACCGCAACCTTCACACTTGTTCTTCAGACAGGACAGCGTCAATCAAAACACACTGACACAGGTAAGAACTTTCACACTTTTTTGTAAATTCAAAATAGAGCACTATTTACATTTATGTAAAAGACAGAGGCATTCATTAAAAGTGTTTTTTACTTATAGACTAGAACTGAACACCATGAAGGTTCTTGTGGTTCTTGCACTTGCTCTATTTACAGGTGAGAAATTCAGAGAAAATTACTATATGAAAATGCTTTAAGGCTTGATAAATTTACAGAATCTATTAGCAATACCACGTTATCAAACTGAAATGCTCCATCAACAGGTTGCCAGGCCAGCCTATTCTCTGCTGATGAGCCCAAGCCACAGCTGGAGCAGCTGACTGATGCATTCTGGAGCTATGTTTCAAAGGCAACACAAACCGCAGAGGAAACCGTCAAGATGATCAGGTCTTCCCAACTGGGACAGGACGTCAAGTAAGTCAAGAATATTTACCTGCAGGACACTGTTATTTAGACTATTTCTTATGCCCTGATATGAAACTCAAATGTCCTTCTCCATGTAACAGTGCTAGACTGACCCAGAGTGCCGATGTGGCCAGCGAATATGCCGTCACCCTTAAGAAACAGATGGATCCTCTGGCTGAAGAGCTGATGACCAGAATCACCAAAGAGACTGAACTGTTGAGGGAGCGTTTGGGCCAGGACCTGATCACTGTGAGAGACCAGCTGGAGCCCTATGCCGACAACCTCAAGAGCCAGATCCAGCAGAGAGTGGAGGAGCTCAGGACAGCCATGACTCCATATGCAGAATCCCTGGATTCTGAGACCCTGAAGGCCACTCTGCTCCAGAAGAGTGAGGAGCTGAGAGGAAACCTGGAGCAGAGCGTGAAGGAGCTGCAGGCTCAGCTGGAGCCCTACACTGCTGAAATCAAGGAGAAGGTTGACCAGCGTCTGCAGGAGTTCCAGAAGACCGTGACCCCTCTGGCTGAGGATCTTCAGGCCCAGATTAGAGAGAGAGCCCAGATGGTCCAGCAGAGTCTCACACCCTACGCTGAAGACCTGAAGGAAAAGCTGGACCCCTACGCACAGGACCTGAAGGACCAGCTCACCTCCCTGTATGAGTCTTTCATCAAGAGAAATTAGATGCTTCAAAGACTTCTTACTTTGTCACTAACAGAACTGTTTTTCCTTCCATGAGAATTGTGACTCCAAAATCCCACATATCTCCCATAACCATGACCTAAATCATACTATTAGGCATCAACAAGATGTCTTACAGTTGATAGGCCAAACACTAATATATAGGATAACATATGTTGTTTACATCTTAACCATTCATCTATATAGATGCAGAAATGTTGCTCTCTTTCTGTAAAAACTGCTGTGTATTTATTTCAGTTTAGCAACTCTTTATTACCTCTGACAGAAAGACAAAAAATGTGTTGCTTCTTGCAAATTTATAAATGCCAAGTGTATAATTTGTCTTATTTATTAACAATAAAACACCTGCCATTTATTAACAATGTTTCTGAATATTATGTCCAACGTAGATCAGCATAGCTGAATTATCGTTCAAAATATATATGTTTTTCATCCAATTAAGTAGCACAAAATGCACAAGGCTAATATGACCTATTTTTTTTATAAAATCTCCAGACAAACAGGAGTTATAAATGGCCGTGTTATCTACCCATGAGAAGTGTGGCATTTGACACAATATATATATAATACTGTAATATTATATTATAATAATACTATACAGATTATTACAAAATTTTCTAAAAGTCTGTAGGAGTGATGAAAGATTATTTAAATAAAGCAACTCTATAACATATATGGATATGCAGAAATGATAAAGGTCATAAAGATTAGATATGGTTGAGAACTTTCCAAAAATGGACCTCTTCCAGTCACTTAGCTGTAATAATTATAGATCATACATTATGTTAATGTCTGTACTCCATTATCAGTGCTGACGCAGGTGTACGCAGTAACTCTTGGACCCGGTCCTTTCAAATGACATCCAGATCTGCACATCTTGTCACACAGAGTGTGTAGTCACAACAGATAAAAACATTCACTGGAGATTAAAATACATTCCCAATACTATTTAAATACAGATATGAAACAGTCATCACCACACTTGTTAATCACACAGTGTAAATTAAGTCATACTGACAAAGGTAAGAAGATACATTTACTATATACCAGTTTAAAAACTGTTTATATAAAATGTTCTACATTATATTAAATTGTTTAAATGAAAAAATGTGTTGTTATTTTACAGACTAAGCCCTGAAAACGATGAAGTCTCTTGTGATTCTTGCATTGGCTGTTTTTACAGGTTAGGCTTATAACCATTTATATAAAGTACTGAACAAAGAAGAAGAAAAAAAAAGGTTCCAAATTCCAAACAGGATATTAAATCATGTTCTACCAGTCAAAATTTTGGATACATTGTTTCTTGTGATCTTAAAACACTTTTGATCTAGGCTTGTGAATAGAAGCTTGACTATAGTTTTGAAGGAACATCCTACTTCTACACTGTTTGAAGAAGCTAAATTATGAGAAAACATATGTTAAAAAGATGCTATTCCAAACCTGTAAGGCTTTCTCTCCTCTGTGCACATATTGTAGTTTTCTGTTTACCTCAAAAATGACGTTTGAACCATCTGATATTTTCAATTCCCACAACAGGTTGCAAAGCCAACATATCTAATGAAGAGAAGCCAAATCCACATCTGGAACACTTAATAAATGCATTCTGGAACTATATTGCCCAAGCAGTGCATACTACTGATGAAACTTCACAGATGATAAGGACAACCCAGCTGGGACAAGAAGTCAAGTAAGTCATTTTTATCAGCAATATTATTTTTATTATAATTAGAAATATTTTCTGTTACCAAACATAAATTACACCTTTCCCCCTCCACATCCCCACACTAGACTAACACAGACTCCTCCATCTGAAGATATGATGACCAAAATCACAGAAGAGACTGAAGTGTTGAGGGAGCGTTTGGGCCAGGACCTGAACACCCTGAGAGACAAACTGGAGCCCTATGCCGACAACCTCAAGAGCCAGATCCAGCAGAGAGTGGAGGAGATCAGGATAGCCATGACTCCATATGCAGAATCCCTGGATTCTGAGACCCTGAAGGCCACTCTGCTCCAGAAGAGTGAGGAGCTGAGAGGAAACCTGGAGCAGAGCGTGAAGGAGCTGCAGGCTCAGCTGGAGCCCTACACTGCTGAAATCATGGAGAATGTGGACCAAAATCTGCAGGAAATGAAAAAATCTTTGGCTACATCAACTTAAGACCTCCAGTACCAGATTTAATCTGCAAAGTTATTTTTGAGTTTTCATATTTTTGAAATATATTTCATATTTTATATTGTTTCTAGCTTTTGTTCTTGTTATTGCAACAATACAATATCTGCCATATTTTATTATTTGTCACTGATATGTAAAAGATAAGTAGAAAATTTGAAAATTTCTACAACTGTTTCATTTGAGGTTGACTTTTCACTTCAGGCTTGATTTTTAATAAATGCTGATGTACTCTTAGCACATGATAAATGTTTTGCTTCTTGCAGGAAGTGATAAGATCTTTTTTAATGTAAACAATTATTAAAATATATATTGATAAAGGGTTAACTAACCCATATAGCGTCACTAGTGGCAGTGCTATAGTGGTGAGAAATGCATTATTCCACTCATCTCTCATTCAAATTAGATTATAGCTAGGCCTACTTTCTCATCAACTTTGGTGAAAATTAATTATGATAAAGTGACAAATTATTTTCCTGTAGTTTAACCAGCCAAATATTGTAATTGAATTATTAAACAGCTTTCTGTTCTTTTATCCCTGGAGTTCTGATCATGACAGTTCCATGGGATACAGAATCAGTTTATGTGGAGTCTATTTCCTTCTAAACACTTTATGTATTACTTAATAAATGGCAAATTATTATCATTGTTAATAAAGTTAACACCTAGATTTAAAGCTAAATGACAAGAGTAAAAATACTTAATACCAGCAGACACAGAATCAAGAGGCTTTGGGTGATGTGTCAGATCTTATCAGGGTGTGCAGAACGTCTTTTATCATTTGTTGTTATATAGGTCAAATGTTCAAATTTGGGGCTCTGTCTGGTTTTAATTTAGTACCTAATATGGACCTTAAATAATTGGATTAATAACACTTTATGTATTCCTTAATAATGGCAAATTACTATCATTGTTAATAAAGTTAACTCCTAGAATTTAAAGCTAAATGACAAGAGTAAAAATACTTAATACCAGCAGACACAGAATCAAGAGGCTTTGGGTGATGTGTCAGATCTTATCAGGGTGTGCAGAACGTCTTTCATCATTTGTTGTTTTATTAGCTCAAATGTTCAAATTTGGGGCTCTGTCTGGTTTTAGTACCTAATACGGACCTTAAATAATTGGATTTATCTGGATAACTCAGTTTAGGCTTTAATATTTTAACTAAATTAATGTTTCCATTATCTATACTTTTCTTGTTTGTTTTAGGGAGTAGGGGAATTCTAGTTAAACTTCCCTTTAATGACATCTGTGTAATGTTAAGTGCTAAGCCAAATGAATATTTTATGTATTTTTATTTGTCCAATTAAAACTTCATCAAAAAACGACGTATTACTGCTTTTAAAGACAAAGTTCCACTGTTACCATTATCTGTGCCGAATCTGAAAGTCTGTGTGGTTGAAGGTACAGTCAGGGCATTATGATGTGGAGTAGTGACAGCAAGGCACTACCCTCTGGACTTTGGGTTTCCACTATGGCAATCACCTCCCTATGCTATATAAATACAGATGTGAAACCGCAACCTTCACACTTGTTCTTCAGACAGGACAGCGTCAATCAAAACACACTGACACAGGTAAGAACTTTCACACTTTTTTGTAAATTCAAAAAAGAGCACTATTTGCATTTATGTAAAAGACAGAGATATTCATTAAAAGTGTTTTTTACTTATAGACTAAAACTGAACACCATGAAGGTTCTTGTGGTTCTTGCACTTGCTGTATTTACAGGTGAGAAATTCAGAGAAAATTACTATATGAAAATGCTTTAAGGCTTGACAAATTTACAGAATCTATTAGCAATACCATGTGATCAAACTGAAATGCTCCATCAACAGGTTGCCAGGCCAGCCTATTCTCTGCTGATGAGCCCAAGCCACAGCTGGAGCAGCTGACTGATGCATTCTGGAGCTATGTTTCAAAGGCAACACAAACCGCAGAGGAAACCGTCAAGATGATCAGGTCTTCCCAACTGGGACAGGACGTCAAGTAAGTCAAGAATATTTACCTGCAGGACACTGTTATTTAGACTATTTCTTATGCCCTGATATGAAACTCAAATGTCCTTCTCCATGTAACAGTGCTAGACTGACCCAGAGTGCCGATGTGGCCAGCGAATATGCCGTCACCCTCAAGAAACAGATGGATCCTCTGGCTGAAGAGCTGATGACCAGAATCACCAAAGAGACTGAACTGTTGAGGGAGCGTTTGGGCCAGGACCTGATCACTGTGAGAGACCAGCTGGAGCCCTATGCCGACAACCTCAAGAGCCAGATCCAGCAGAGAGTGGAGGAGCTCAGGACAGCCATGACTCCATATGCAGAATCCCTGGATTCTGAGACCCTGAAGGCCACTCTGCTCCAGAAGAGTGAGGAGCTGAGAGGAAACCTGGAGCAGAGCGTGAAGGAGCTGCAGGCTCAGCTGGAGCCCTACACTGCTGAAATCAAGGAGAAGGTTGACCAGCGTCTGCAGGAGTTCCAGAAGACCGTGATCCCTCTGGCTGAGGATCTTCAGGCCCAGATTAGAGAGAGAGCCCAGATGGTCCAGCAGAGTCTCACACCCTACGCTGAAGACCTGAAGGAAAAGCTGGACCCCTACGCACAGGACCTGAAGGACCAGCTCACCTCCCTGTATGAGTCTTTCATCAAGAGAAATTAGATGCTTCAAAGACTTCTTACTTTGTCACTAACAGAACTGTTTTTCCTTCCATGAGAATTGTGACTCCAAAATCCCACATATCTCCCATAACCATGACCTAAATCATACTATTAGGCATCAACAAGATGTCTTACAGTTGATAGGCCAAACACTAATATATAGGATAACATATGTTGTTTACATCTTAACCATTCATCTATATAGATGCAGAAATGTTGCTCTCTTTCTGTAAAAACTGCTGTGTATTTATTTCAGTTTAGCAACTCTTTATTACCTCTGACAGAAAGACAAAAAATGTGTTGCTTCTTGCAAATTTATAAATGCCAAGTGTATCATTTGTCTTATTTATCAACAATAAAACACCTGCCATTTATTAACAATGTTTCTGAATATTATGTCCAACGTAGATCAGCATAGCTGAATTATCATTCAAAATATATATGTTTTTCATCCAATTAAGTAGCACAAAATGCACAAGGCTAATATGACCTATTTTTTTTATAAAATCTCCAGACAAACAGGAGTTATAAATGGCCGTGTTATCTACCCATGAGAAGTGTGGCATTTGACACAATATATATATAATACTGTAATATTATATTATAATAATACTATACAGATTATTACAAAATTTCTAAAAGTCTGTAGGAGTGATGAAAGATTATTTAAATAAAGCAACTCTATAACATATATGGATATGCAGAAATGATAAAGGTCATAAAGATTATATGGTTGAGAACTTTCCAAAAATGGACCTTTTCCAGTCACTTAGCTGTAATAATTATAGATCATACATTATGTTAATGTCTGTACTCCATTATCAGTGCTGACGCAGGTGTACGCAGTAACTCTTGGACCCGGTCCTTTCAAATGACATCCAGATCTGCACATCTTGTCACACAGAGTGTGTAGTCACAACAGATAAAAACATTCACTGGAGATTAAAATACATTCCCAATACTATTTAAATACAGATATGAAACAGTCATCACCACACTTGTTAATCACACAGTGTAAATTAAGTCATACTGACAAAGGTAAGAAGATACATTTACTATATACCAGTTTAAAAACTGTTTATATAAAATGTTCTACATTATATTAAATTGTTTAAATGAAAAAATGTGTTGTTATTTTTCAGACTAAGCCCTGAAAATGATGAAGTCTCTTGTGATTCTTGCATTGGCTGTTTTTACAGGTTAGGTTTATAACCATTTATATAAAGTACTGAACAAAGAAGAAGAAAAAAAAGGTTCCAAATTCCAAACAGGATATTAAATCATGTTATACCAGTCAAAATTTTGGATACATTGTTTCTTGTGATCTTAAAACACTTTTGATCTAGGCTTGTGAATAGAAGCTTGACTATGAAGGAACATCCTACTTCTACACTGTTTGAAGAAGCTAAATTATGAGAAAACATATGTTAAAAAGATGCTATTCCAAACCTGTAAGGCTTTCTCTCCTCTGTGCACAAATTGTAGTTTTCTGTTTACCTCAAAAATGACGTTTGAACCATCTGATATTTTCAATTCCCACAACAGGTTGCAAAGCCAACATATCTAATGAAGAGAAGCCAAATCTACATCTGGAACACTTAATAAATGCATTCTGGAACTATATTGCCCAAGCAGTGCATACTACTGATGAAACTTCACAGATGATAAGGACAACCCAGCTGGGACAAGAAGTCAAGTAAGTCATTTTTATCAGCAATATTACTTTTATTATAATTAGAAATATTTTCTGTTACCAAACATAAATTACACCTTTCCCCCTCCACATCCCCACACTAGACTAACACAGACTCCTCCATCTGAAGATATGATGACCAAAATCACAGAAGAGACTGAAGTGTTGAGGGAGCGTTTGGGCCAGGACCTGAACACCCTGAGAGACAAACTGGAGCCCTATGCCGACAACCTCAAGAGCCAGATCCAGCAGAGAGTGGAGGAGATCAGGATAGCCATGACTCCATATGCAGAATCCCTGGATTCTGAGACCCTGAAGGCCACTCTGCTCCAGAAGAGTGAGGAGCTGAGAGGAAACCTGGAGCAGAGCGTGAAGGAGCTGCAGGCTCAGCTGGAGCCCTACACTGCTGAAATCATGGAGAATGTGGACCAAAATCTGCAGGAAATGAAAAAATCTTTTGCTACATCAACTGAAGACCTCCAGTACCAGATTTAATCTGCAAAGTTATTTTTGAGTTTTCATATTTTTGAAATATATTTCATATTTTATATTGTTTCTAGCTTTTGTTCTTGTTATTGCAACAATACAATATCTGCCATATTTTATTATTTGTCACTGATATGTAAAAGATAAGTAGAAAATTTGAAAATTTCTACAACT